AATGTCTTGATGCATTTATTCTTAGATATTTTATATTACTCTTGCTAATAATGTATTTTTTCATTACATACTATGGCTGGGTTACTGCAAATACATACAAATATAGTAAGCTTTTATATTTATTTTGGAACTGGCTGCTTTTTGAGTTCTTTTATTTCTAGTATCTTTTACTTCATACATTATTTATCTTAGCTTTGTATCTCTGTAACAATTGGTATTCAAGATCCTTCCTTTTGGTACCATAATATTCACTCCTTTAACAAAGGTCTGGAAAGTGTTCACTGTATTTAACTACTGTAGTAAGTATTTAAAAGACTGAAATAATCATTTCCCCTGAGAAGTTACCTACGTAAAATACTAACTTCTGTCTCTATGTACAGCCTGGACTAAATCTACCCTTTCTTTTTATTGTGTTTTTTTCTAAGCAGCAACTGGAATATACTTAACAATCCATAAGATTCAATCTTTTAAAGTATAAAATTGAGTGAATTTTTTTTCAGCATATTCAGAGTTGTGTAGCCAACATCATTAATTTTAGAACATTCTCATTACTCCAGAAAGAAGTTTGTCCCCATCAGCAGTCACCCCCTGCCTGGGGTGGCTTAAATCTTTCAAGGCTCATGTGCTAAAGGCCTGGTTGCTAGCCTGTGACAGGCCAGGTGGGAGGTCTCTGAGGAGGTGGGGCTCAGGGAAAGAAATTACTTAAGTCAATATGTAACCCATTCCTTTGAAGGGGGCAGTGAGAGCTCAGCCTCTTTCTCTCCGTTTGCTTCCTGATCACACTGCAGCTGAGCAGCTATACTAAACCATGCACTCCACTGTGATGTTCTGTCTCTCCACACACCCAAAAGCCACAGAGCTAACCAGCCATTGCCTGAAATTTCTGGATCTGTAGGCCAAAACACATTCTTCCTTCTTTTAATTTGAATTACTTCAGGCATTTTCTTCACAGCAGTGGAACACTGGCTAATGCACCATTCCTCCTCACTAGCTTCCAGCAACCACAAATCTTACTTCCTGCCTCTACAGAGCTGCTTATTCTGGGTATATGGCCGCCTGTGGATGACTTCTTTCTTTCACTTAGCACAATGCTTTCATGATTCAGGCAAGGTGAAAATGTATACAGGCACTTCATTCCTTTTGCTAGCCAATTATTAATCTGTATGATGACTGGAGCATATTTTGTTGACCTCCCTTCAGCTGATGGTTGTTTCTACTTTTGGTTGTTATAAGTAATCCTGCTATCAACATTTGTGAACAAGTTTTTGTGTGGATACAGACTCTAATTAAGTACTTATCTAGGAGTAGATTTGCTGGGTCGTAAGATGCTGTTTAACTTTTTGAAGAACTAACAAACTTCTCTAAAGTGGGTATACTATGTAACAATCCACCTCTATGCCTCTGCCAAATCATCCCTCTAAAATAATCAAACACTAACATAACCCATCTAATAATCTCAGGCTTGAATTTCATACACAGCCAAAAGGATGAAGGTTGTCTTAATATAGCATTCAAGAATCTTCATGATCTAAAAGATATTTGTCCGTTTTTATCTCTAGTCACCTTCTTACCTTCTCAGGCTTTATGTTCCAATACTCATCATCCTGCTATCTTTTGCCTCTATACCCTTATTCATCACACACACCCCCTCTTCTAGTCCTTTCCACCCCAACCTCGTCACCCAAGTCTCAGCCCAAAGGTAATTCTCTCCAGCAGGCTTCTCTGACTCCAGTAGGCACTCTCAAGGTCCTGGACATGCACCTTTGTATCTTGTTCAAGAAGCTACATTTTTCTGGAAATTTTTTCTCAAATCTCTCTTTCTACTAAACTCTACAAGGAGCAGAGACTTATGGCTAATAAGCAGTAAACCTGAACTCATTCCCAGTTTGGTTTATTCCTAAATTCAATGCACTTTCCATTTGACCATAATATACCATAGCTGTATATTGCTTCAAACCAGAACATTTCCATAGAACAGTCTTTGCTACTACAAAGGAGTTAAAAGAAAGTCCAAAATCGTCTCCACATTCCTCGAAATCTTTTCTCTCTGTCTCTAACATTCTGCAGAGACAACCCAGGGCAACAGGTTAATATGGATTGTGTGCTAAGCCACTCAGAAGCCAGGGTCCTTGGAGCCAGCACCCCATGAGTGACTCTCTCCAGGTGTATCCATGCCATCTGCTTGCAAAATGCCTCAGGAATACAGCTATGTGCAGACACCAGGAGGTCAGAGCAGGAGGACACCAGCACACATTCCAAAGCCCCACCTGTGTGCTTGAAGAGAAATTCCTGCAATCCTCTACTTATTCTCCCACCTACTTCAGACAGATGGAGATTAATTTGCACTTGCTGAGAACCAACTGGTTCCCTTATAAAATCATATTCATTGGTGAATAAAACACATTTACTTCAAGAGGAGCATGAGATTGGGTAAAGAAATGCATGAGGAGAAGAGAGAGTTAAAAGAAAAAGAAAATAGAGTTGTGAAACTGGAGATTCTGAGTACTAAGAAAGTCCTAAGTGCCTCCTTATAGAAGAAAAATACTTCTGAGTAGGCAAAAGGTCAAGGAGTAGGTCCTGTCGTAAACTTAGAGGGACAAAAAATTAAGACAGATTTCAAAGAAGGGGCGATGGAGTACTGCTAACAAAGACAAAGGTGGAAATAAAATCTCTTACCAGGCTGCCTTTGCTAATGCAGAAAATGAATGAATTGACAAAAGAATCCAAGACTTTAATTTTCTAGTGCTGAAAACTCTGAGAAAATTGACAATCGTGGGAAGGAGAAAAGAAACAAGGGGATAAGGTTAATGGGGGTGAGGATATGGAGTAGAAAAGAATTAAAAATGGGAGCAGGGAGTAAGAGGCATACATTTGCAAAGCTAAAGCATGCTGCAAAATAAAACAGTAATGAATTATTCAGTGACTTCCCTATGGCTGTATCTCAGACCTCAGAGTAGATAAACGCTGATTTTTTTTTTTAAATATAGACGAAGGTTGAGAAAAGCAGAAAACAAACCAAGTTCAGTCTTTCTAGTGAAGAGTTTGACAAATTGTATTAAAATGTGAAATGTATATATCTAACTACACAAAAATTCTTTCTTATTCTTTAAGCTAAGTTGATCCTGACACAAGTACTTAAAGATAAATGCAAAAGGAAATTTACTGCAGCACTATTTCTCATGCAAAATATTCGTGATTGATAGCTAGTTAAATAAATTATGACACATTTGTATAATGTCTATCATGCACTGGAAAGGGTGGTAGGGCTTTATGTACAGCCTCGGAACACATTCTAAAGAGAAAGCAGCAGGTCACAAGAATGGTACCTCATGCAGGTGTGTGTCCACAGGATGGCAGTGTGACAGTCCTATGGCCTGGCCCAGTGCTGCCCCCACCCCTCCATCCCCTAGTCTTGTCTCGCTGATCTTAGGGACAATCCTGAAAGTGCGGAGTCCTTTCCTCAGTGGTTACTCGCCTCAGTATAGTTACCTAAGGAGTTAACAAGCCCTGATGTAGCAGAAATGCCCCCCACCTCAGCACTTGCTAGTGGCCCAGGTCAACAGTTGTTCAGTTCCTGTTATTGTTTCTGAGAAACAGCTGTGAAGCATATTGTAAGTATCAATCCTCAGTTGACAAGCCATTCTGCCTCTGTACTCCCTGCTTTCTTACGTCATATAAGCCCTAGACCACCAGAGATCAGGACCTAATATTCTAGGAATGACACTGATCAGAACCTGTCAATATAAATAAATCTGCCTCCAAATCCTGGGTGTTTCTCGGTGTTTCTGTTTGCAGGTGCACCACAATAGGGAATTAGGAAATGTACCCAATTTGCCTTTCACTCTCTGACTCTTAACAAGTATGGAACATAGAGTGCAAATCCTCTGAATCCTTTTGTTTATTTCAGCCCATTTTGATCATCTTATCAGACAGGTAATCTGAACTGTGTGAACATGGCTATAATTAAGCCTTGGTCTCAAATCTAAAATCAATAATGAAATTCCAAGATACTGCTAAGTTTAAAACTATGAAGTAAATTTTTCCTGAGGATAGTAGCTGCCTTTTTGGAGCTGCTGTTAGACTGCTTTTGTAAGATTATTACCTATCAAGAATCAATTACTGTATATAAAAATAACCTATGTACAGTGTATAATAAAAAATTCAACTTGTGCCTGATCCAAGTTATATAACACTGAGATGACAGAAAAATGGCTTACCATTATTAACATTTTAGGGAACTGTGAATGGTAGAATTTGGGAGATATTTAAAATTTTATTTATTTATTTATTTATTTAGGTACTAGGGATCAAACTCACAACCTCATGCTTACAAGGCAAGTGCTTGTGCTTGCTGAGCTAAATTCCCAGATAACATTTTATTTTTATGTGTTTCTGTATAGTGTAAAATTTAGTTATCATCTTATTTTACCACAACAAAATAACGAAACTCGTTGAAAAACATCAAATACAAATGACTCGTTTTTAAAAAAAATTTTGGCCAGGGATTTAGCTCAGCAACGTAAGGGCCTGCTTGGCAAGTGTGAGGCTGTGAGTTTGATCCCTGGTACCAAAAAAACGCTAAACATACAAAAAAAAATTTTATAAAATGCATTTAAAGGCATATTTAAAATACTATTTTTTGGAATAATTTTAAGTAAAATCTTTTTAATTCAGAAGGAAATTATACCAAAATAAATGAGAACCCCTTTACATATAAACTTTGTCCATAATGAGTATCTCCCTGACAAACAGGACTAAGATAAATACAGTATTTATTATGACTCTCTAATTCAAATCTGGAGATCTGTGCATTCCTTAAGTGTATTCTTACTAGAATTACAAGGAACATTTAATAGACAATCAAAAATCTAAAGCACACTCAATACCTGACAAAGTAGCATAAATTTTCAATTTGTACAACTGCGCGGAAAGAGCTGAAACCTGTAAATCCTCTGGCCTCAGTCTTCACCCACCCCCGCAGCTCTGTATATAAATCTCACCTCTTCAAGCTTCTTCTCAATCTCCTTGAAGACGAGGTTTGCCTTAAATCCGTCGCCCCCAGAGCTGGTCGGAGCAGCTTCGATTTGATTCGTTCTGAAACAACTGCGGGAAAGGATCAACTTCAAGTCAGCATTTCATAGATACCTCAGGTAGCAGGTTTTTCGGACCTTTAAGCAACAGTGAGTTCTCAAGCCTAAAACCAGAAATCTTTCACTTTCACCTAAAACCCTAGCAAGCCCATAACACAAGTTTTTCTTCCCAAATTTTCAACAAATACAGAGTGCTCAATTAAGTGTCAGTGTTCTTGCAAATATAGTCAACCAAAGAAGCCACCTTCATGAAACTTACAAGGCCTGATTGAAAAACATGGTGAGTGTTTAAAATATGTATTTTAAAATTTCAGTGAAAGATACTTGGCCCTCAATTTGAACATCCTTATCCTACTACTCTTGCCACCTTCTCAAGCAGTTCCGAAGTCCTCATTCCCATCTTTACTTGCATTGTGGCCATGCCAATGTCCTGAACAAATTCAGACATTCACCTGTCATGGTCATTTTGACTTTGGGTGAGAGTCGTAAGTCTTCACTGGCCAGAGTCAGTGAATGAAGTGGATAAGGACACATCATTATGTTTTTAGAAGCCTGACTTTTCACTGGATGGCATGCAGTACCATCATTTACAGTATTTTCAATCACACTTTGTAAAAGAAACACACACTGAAAAATGACAGAACGAGTGTTTTTGAAGTGAGAGGGAGTATTCTGAGGGGAATTAATAGCAATATGTTCTTTAATGTAATAGTTTTTATTTAAATGCTCACTGTGTATTATAATCACACCTCATATATATGCTAGCAGAGACAATAGCAAAAAATAAAGAATACAGTACTATAAAGAAAATAAACAGGCTAAAGACAAAAAATATTTTATGTATGTCAGATGTGCTGTTTGACTGACTGAGTGGTGCTGAGGATTGAACCCAGGGCTTCAGGCACACTAAGGAAGCTCTCTACCAGAGTGCTATACCCTATCCCTCTCATCTGCTTTACACAGTATGACCATGGAAGGCCTGTCAGGGAGGTGATATTAAAGTTAGTCTCACATCATGTAAATGAGGCAAGTTAGGTGGGGAAAACAATTCTAGCCTGAAAATTCCTAAGAATAAAGGACTTAAGGTAGAAACTAGCTTGGTAGTTAAAGGAAATACACTGCCAGTTCGACTGGAGCAGAAGAGGAGAAAGACAGGTCAGAAACATGTGGTGCAGCTGGAGAGGGCCTTTACAGATCATGGTCAGAAGCTTCAGTTTTAAGGAAGGGGGAGACAGCTCAAAGACAGAGTCCTTGCTGGCTTTTCCTGGTTAAAATGTCCGGTCTGGGCCAGCAACCGTTTCGGTATGCATGAGGCCCTGGGACCTCAGCACCAAAAATCGCACAAAATAGTTTCTGTTTTAAGTTAATGAGAAGAACATAATCCAATTTACGTATTTCACAAAGGCAATCTGACTGCCAGCTGGAAAATAGACTCAGGGAAGTGAGGAGAAAGGGAAACCATTTAAGAAGCTAGTGCAGTAATCTATGCAACAGACAAGCGAAACAGGGTTATAAAGGAGTGGGAGGTGAAAAGACTGGATTTGAGACTCACCTTTTACCTGTAGCAGGAGATGTAAATTCCCAAATATTCAAGGTGTTTGGTAGTTAGGAAACAACCACAGATAAGCTGGCAGAAGAACATGACCTTCATACACCATAAAGGGGCCAAAGGTTTTCTCTGCCCACCAGGGATGTAACTGTGAGCAGGTTGCATCATCTCAGTGCACAGTAGTAGGTCAGAGGGGAAAGGTGGAGAGTGCCATGACTTTGCAGAAATTAATGGGCTCCGTGTGCAAAGCTCATGGGTGACAGGTGTGCACAGAAACCGTGAAGGTCTGAGGAAGAAGAGGGTCCTTTAGGCTGCTACTCAGCTCCTCTGACATCCCCACACAACCCACTTCTCTCTTACCATTCCGTTCCCTCTCTTTATCACTGTGGAAACATCAAGTAATTGCTTGCTACTTGGCCAGGCGGCCCTGGGGATACAGTCAGACCTAGCCCCTTCCCCTTCCTGGTTTTTTATTCTGCCACTAGAACAGAAAAAGAAGTAAACACACATAATAATGGCAGACTGTAGCAGGAGTTAGGAGGTAAGTAAAAAGAGGAAACTATGTAGGACAGTCCCAGCATGATTTCCTGAGCAGGTGAACTTAAGCTAGCTTCCCCATTAGAGGTAGAAGAAGAGCGAGCTGTTCGAAGAGAAAACTGCCAAGACCCTGAGGGAGAAAAGTGCTTGATTTGTTGAAAGAAAGGTAAAATAAGACAAGGGTCATCAGGACACAGTGGGTGGGAGAGAACAACATGAAATGAAATTGGAGAACAGGCAGGAAGGACCAGACCATGCAGGTGACCCACCTAGGAAATCGGGAAACCACAGAAATGGTAACAGGGAAGAAGTTTGATTGTGATTATTCTCATGACAGAATGACAGGAGGCATAGGGCAGCAGGAGAGGGGACTCAGTTAGGAGGCTGTTGCAGTGGCCGAGACAGGAGGTGATGCTGGCCTGGATTATACAGTCTGCCAGTGAAGAGAGGGAGAGGACGTGGATTCAAAATAGAAGCAGAATCCACAGGTTTTGCTGCTGGGGATGAGGGGAAATGAAACGGGGTGAAGAGAGGGCAAAGAAAATTCAGCTGTCTAAGAATAATGAGATGGCAGTAGCATTTACTGTGACAAGGAAAAATGCAGTTGGGATAGGGGACCAGCATTCTGAGTCAGGCACAGTCAGTGGAAGACATGTATGAGACAAGTAGGCAGCTGGATGTGAGAATCTAGAGCTCAAAGCAGAAGTCTAACCGGAGGAAAAACAGAATAATTAGCACAGTGAAAGTGTTGATATCCCCAGGAATGGACATAAGGAAATTACAGGAAAAGGACAGCCCAGAATAGTACCCTTTAGTGCTCCATTATTTAGAAATCTGTGACAGAGAGAAAAGTTGCTGCCAGTGAGGACTCAGGCAGAAATTCAGGGGCACATCACGTCACAGAAGCCCAGAGGGGAGACAGCGCAGCAGCGGAGTATAAATGATGTCAAATGCTGCTGAATGGTCAAGGACCTACTGGATTTGGCAACACAGAAGATTCTACATGGCCTTGACCACGGCAGTGCCAAGTGCTCGAAGATGGAAGTCAACTCTAGTTAACTGAAGAGCAAACGAGAGGGAAAAGAGGCAGAGTGGCTCTTTTGAGACATTCCTTTCAGAGGAAGAATGAAATAGTGGGATGGGGCTGGTAGCAAGGAAGTTTATTTGTTTTTTTTTGGAATGGGATAGAAATGGTATCTCTAAATAATCTCTTCAAGAAATGCAGCAGTCCTGGATGTGGGTATGAGAGTGTGGTAACTTAAAACTCTTCTTTAATTTTCTAATTCTGTTAAAATTTTTATATATAAAATTTGGCATCCTAGCCATTTTAAGTATACAACTGAGTAGTATTAAACACTCACAATGTTGTGCAATCATTATTTCTATAGCCATTTTCGTTTTGATAAAATGAAACTCTGTACCCATTAAATAACTTCCTGGCCCCCACACCCACCCCTGGAAGCCACCATCTACCTTTGTTTCTATGACAGTGTCTACTCTGAGACCTCGTAAAAAGGAACTATATGGTATTTGTCTTTTTGGGACTTGCTTATATCACTTAATATAACGTCCTTGGAATTCACTCATGTTGTCGCACATGTCAAAATTTCAAGGACAGTTTGGTTTGGCTTGAAGATTAATGCATCAGAGCACGTATGATGATGGTAATAAGCTGGGAAAAAGAGTTGGAGAAAAGAAGTCTTAAGCTGGTGTGTGGTAGAGTTAAACAGTGGCTGGAAGCGTTATCTGCAAAGAAGGTTGAGCCTTGAAAAGGAAGGGGACTTTCTTCCTCCAGGAAACCCTTCTCAGGGAGGTGACAAAAAGTTGCAGGATTCTAGAAGGGTGGGACAAGAGGTGTCTGGAGCCCCAAAGAGTGCAGGCTTTTGAAGGAGAGGAAAGTCGGCAAGAAACAAAAAGAATTTTGACAGCAACAGGGCATGGCCCTACTTAGAAACATCTATTTGCAAAGACCCAATGCCGTATGTATTTGGTATCTTTTCTAAATCGCCCCTTAAGCCTGAGAAGCCAGCTGTGGAAAAGGAAAGCAAAAAGTGACTAGCCTCCTCTGGGGTCAACAAAATTTCCCTGAAGCTGTAAAGTTTAAAAGCCTGTGACCAGTTTTACAGCCGTGTGATCGCGGCAGTGTAAGGACACAGTCTCCCTTCACTACCAAGACAAAAAAATCAAAGTGTTTCACACATGAAGTATCGTCTGTGAAAAATCCTAAGGGTGAACTAAACCCAGAACGCTCCCTACCTGGTGGCCTCCGGAAAGCCCATCCTGTAGAGGGTCACCACAACAGCTCCACCCAGGCCTAAGTTGTGCTGCAGAGCCACCTTCGCACCGGGAACTTGCCTCTTTCCGGCTTCGCCTCTCAGCTGCCAGCAGAGTTCTGCACACTGAGCCAGACCTGGCGAATCAAACACAGAGCAGATTGAGGCCATGCTCTAGGAAGCGGCTCACCAGCATTCTCGAGCCCGCAAAGCATTAGCAACTAATCATGACTTTTAATTAAAGCGTTTAAGTCGGGACCCTGTTTGCCTCAGTAAGTTCTCTTAAAGCGCTAAAAGGTTTTGCAGATAGCTTTTCCTCTCCCAAGGAATTTCTGTATTTAGACAAGGTCCACGCTTAAGAATTCTCTTTATACCTATTTACCTTTCATTTTCCGGCATGTTGAAAGTGAAAACATTGAATATACAATTTATCAGCACATAAATCATTTTCTAATTTTACCATTTTAAATGTATCAGAGCAATCTAGGATTTATAAGATCGTTTTCATTAAAATATCTGGCAAGAGAAATTTTCACTATTTTTCCCCCAGTATTTCCCAATAAATACAAAATTGTTTTTAGCTATTGCAAGAAAACCTGTAGATCCACAAGAAGAGCATCCTGTCCCCCTGGAAATAAGATCAAAGACTTTTTTTTTTTTTTTTTTTTTTTGTCTTTTTCGTTTTTATCGGTACCAGGGATCGAACTCACCACTGCCTGCTTGCAAGGCAGGCACTTATGACACTGAGCTAAATCCCCAGCCCCTAGATCAAAGACTTTTGAGCTGGAAGGAACTATTAAGTAAACACAGAAATCGTTTAAATAATCTGTGGATAATAAGTAATTAGAAACATTTCAGAGTTGTTAATACCGGCATACGACGCAGAGACTAGGGCTATGGGGAAAACAGATTTTACTCCTTTTACCCACAGGCAGGCTGACAGCAGAGTGAATATTTGCAAATATCTAAAGGATCTGAGTAGGTTAGGGATGCAATTTTAAGGAAACAGAATATGGATGAAATGTTTTGAGTTTAAGGTTGTAGGGGCAGTTAGCACAGGTTGGTACACAGAGCTGGCGTCAGGAGACCACAGGGAGACCTCAGCCCCACTTTAAACCTTTTAATGCTCTTGTTTCTAGTTTACCAGGGGCAAGCTATTGCCAGTAAAGGAGAGTCCATTATTTGTATTGGGCAACTCTCTTAGGACACTCTCAGGCCAGCACTGATAAGAGTTATAATTAGAACCCATATCTCAAGATTTTAAATTAGTCCTTGTATCAGACCAGGTCTAAAAATAGCTGAGTTGGGAAATGTTCTATCAAGTTACAATGGTCTCACTGTCCTGTGCAGGTCTACCTAGTATGTACTCTTCCACCCACAGCTCCAGCCACACTTCTGATCCTGAGTACCTGTGACAAACACTAACCTCTTCGAGAACTTGCTACCTTTCCTTCCCAAGCAGGTTTGTTTGTTTATTTGTTATTTATTTATTTTTTGTGTTTTTTGAGACAGGGTCTCACTATGCAGTTCAGGCTGGCCTTGAGCTCACTTTGTAGCACAGGCTGGTCTCGCAATGCTCCTCCCACCCCAACCTCGAGTGCTGGGATTACAGGCATGAGCCACCACGCCCAGCGAAAGCAGGTATATTTAAAGAATACACCTTAAACATTGTTTAAAAAGCTAACTATCCACATTTAATGATTTTTTTGAATTGTAAACATTCTGAAAATTAATGAGGAAGATAAAAGTGAATGGTGCAATTATACTCAAATTTTGGGGCAATCTATTTAATTAAAAATCTTCCTTATAAAAAACCTAAGTGTTTAATGGATGTGTAAGACAAAAAATATTCAAACTGACATTATTTACAGGGTTGGGGAAAAGACTGCTAGTTTCCCTCACAAAGAATAAATCTATGTAGTTTATTACACTATTTGTGAAGATATTTAACCTCACCATTGATCAAATCAAACAGATAGTATTTAACAGATTAAAATGATAAGTATACTTAAAAATGGGAGAAATCAAAGCTGAGAAGATTACAGAGTTAAACACCTCCATATAGTACTGGTGAACGCTTAAGCCAGCACTCCTTTGGAAGAAAGTCAGGCATAGCCACCATTTTAAATACAAGCCATCCGTTTACATTATTACACTGCTATAACAATGGAAAAACTAGACAGTCTAAAAGAGAAATGCTTGAGGAATGGTTATATAACTCATGCCCACCCATATGAAAAGGGAAGAAAGAAAACATTTCCCCTATCTGCTAATACACCCTCTGTGACCAGATCACAGAGACCATTCGTTTCTGTACATACCAAGCAATTCTCTGGTGGATACCAACTGGGTATCCCACAGTTCAGTTCAGTTCAATTCTTAGACTATCACCAGGGGGGCAAGGTGGCATACGTCTGTAATTCTAGCACTCAGGAGGCTGGGGCAGAAGGATTCTTGAGTTATATAGTGAGTTCGAGCCATTCACTAGGTAACAAGACCCTATCTCAAAAACCAAAACCAAACCAAACCAATTTAGACTATCTATCTATCTATCTGAGACAGTGGCTATAAACTTTAGTCCTACAACTTCCTCCTTGGGTTAATTTGCCAAAATCTCAGAATTTAGGGAGACAGATTTGCTACTTTATTACAAAGGACAGAGAAGAGGCATACAGAGTAAGATCTAGAAGAATTCTCAGCACAGGCGCTTTTGTGTGCTACTCTCCTGGCAGGTGTACATAGTCATCAACCAAAAAGCTCACCAGATTTCCTGGTTAGAAAGTTTTTATAGACCTTAATCTCTAGGTCCCCTCATTTTTTTCCTGAAGGCCGATGGGTAGGGCTGAGAGTTCCAAGTCTCTAATGTATCTCCCCTGGAAAATAACACTAGTGTGATTTTTAGGGTGCTTTTAATATAACCCCAAACCAGATAATAAACCCCAGTTAAAATCAGACAGACACATTATTATGTCTGTTAAAACAGGACACCCAGGTCCACATCAGGGCTCCACCTTTGCAGTGTCCCCTGAGGACAAGCCATGGCAAAAGGGCACAAAGCTGCAGAGTGGGGGTCCTGTGAGTCCCCCATCACTGCACTTCTGCTGTGGGGGGGACTCCACGTTTCCTCACCATTGTCACCCCCAGCCTGTGGGGACACTGAAGCCTTGCTCACCTGGGTATCTCTGGCACTCAAACCAGGGACCAGGCCAGGAGAGCACAGTACACATTGCTGATGCAACAATCCACTCATCAGACAGCTATTTGGAGTACCTACCATATTCCCCAGAAAACAAGACCTAACCAGAAGGTAAACACATACGATTTTTCAGAATGCTTATAATACAAGCCCAATTCCAAAACTAAGCCACAGTTAAGATAGACAATCAGCCAGATGGGTGTATTGAGTATATCTTCTGCAACAAATGATAAATGTATTGAATTATAAAATAATATTAATATACAAGTAAATATAAATAAATGACGTTAATATTGAAACTTAAAATGATAACATACAGTTCAGTATTTGTAAATGCCCAAGCACATGCTCTTGGACAAGAGGTAAGTGCCTATGTAAACAGATGAACTTGAGACTTACCTCATTGTCAAATGACTGACCACAGTACAGACATAATACAGGAATCATTTGCACACTTGATAACAAACAGACATAGTTATGTCTAAAAGAAATCTTCATAATTCAACACAACCTGTGTTGAAACAGATATACTTAATGCACTGTGTGAAAGTAAGAAATATTTTCTGGATTTTGGTGTCTGCAGCCCATCATTCTTTTTTTTTTGGGGGGGTACTGGGACTCAAACTCAGGGCCTCACGCTTGCCATGTAGTTGCGGTGCCACAGAGCTACATCCCTGGCCCCAGGCCACCATTCATAACTGCAATCATTTTTGTTGCCACTCCTGTCTTATAAGTCTTCCATTAACCATTAATTTAATGTGAAGCCTAACCAGCAAGATGTCACAGTTTAGGTGAAGAATTCATGGGATAAAATCACCAAGAGCTGTGTTGCCAATGCACTAGGAGCAGGCCACAATAGGCAAGAAGCCCTCATTCAAGGAGAGCTCTGTTGCTGGACGTGAGAGATTGGGGCCACTGGTTCTACAGGAAATGGAGCCACAAGCAACTTACGATGATGTTCCAACAGAGGATGACAGGACTATACTTGTATAAATGCAGATTTTGTACATGAATAAATGTATATTGTTCTGTATAAATAAATACAGACTGTTGTACATGAAAAAATAAAACAGCCTATGAAAATAAGCACTATTGTGTCTTTTGGAGGAAAAATTGACACAAGGCCCTGTCTTATTTTCTGGGAAATACGGTAATCCTCTAGTCACTTGGTCTTTCTAGTGATCAGGTCCATCTTGAGACTACCTCAGTGATCCCACTCTAAGTCAGTTTCTTGTATATCAAAAATACAGGTGTGGTGAGAAATGATTATTATGATAAACAATTGATAGCCCCACCACTCAGGAAATTCCAAGGGTTGGAGAGATTTTGTACAAGAACAAATACTATAACAAGTGATGGTCTTATTGCCATATGTGGCAGGTACCAGATGAAGATCAAAACACATATTTCTTACTATACAACGTACAGTAAATCACTTTGCTCTCATTAAAATGTTTACCAAAAAATGATGTTTACTAAGTTTGTAACAATATAAAGACACTGGGACATTCACCCAACAAATGGTTACTGAATTCCTGTCATATGCCATCTTCTGCATGAGGCTCAGATGAACCAGAAATAAAAAAACACAATAAGAATGTTTTCCTTGTGATCTGATGATCCAAGATATACAAATCACTGGCATTTAAAATATGCCCTAATACCACTGCCACAGGCATCAACACAGGTATTCCAAGAGCATAAGGGAGGAATACCTAGGTGAAAGAGGAAACACCCAGATAAATGAAATCTAAACTGAGACTCTATGAATAGGGACAAAAGGCAAAAAGAATGTGTCTTGAAGAGGGACAAGCATGTGCCAAGAAAGAATACAGCCTGCTTAAGAAAGAGAAGCTAAGTGGATAAAGCTAGAGCATAGAGTATTCAGGACATCCGCATGGGAGGAGAGAAGAAACAGAGAAAGGAGGGGGTGGAATATGA